TGCTGATAGAATTTTCACCCCATTTATTTTTGGAGTTGAAATATTTCCATAAGCACTTATGTAAAAGAGCAATAAGTTGACCAAGTCACAGAAAAGATGACCCACAAGACTTGGCAGTCATTCTAAGCCTCTAAATTAATGATCCATTCGTGCTTACAGAAGGCTTTTCTGTGTATAACATAGAGTTAGAGACAGACTTACAGACACATCGAAAAAATCAGACCTGAACCAAAGACTCAAGAGACTGGCATATGGAACATACTAAATAGAGGGCACGTAAGTTAATAACTATAATGGCAGGTAACGAGAGATGAGGATTTTAAGGCAGGCAAAGTTTATTGGAGAACATGAAAGAACAAGAGAATGGTAAAATGGCAAGATCAATAAAGGCCCCAAGATGGAGGTGACTTTTGGGCCGGGCTTTGAAGGATGGCTTGGATTTGGACTGGAAGGTATTGAGAGAAAAGTAAATTTCAAATGGACAGAACAGTTAGCACAGGCATACAAACAATGAAATACCAGGACAAGTAGGGGAGAACAAGGGTACATGTAGACAGAATAAAAAATAGTGTTGGTCTATAAAAGCATAGGGTGCATGAGAAAGTGCAGTGAAATGTAAGAGTGTAACAGCAGTGAGGAGTGGAGTGGGCCTTGAAATCAAGTCTTGGGAGTTTAAATTTCATTTTATGAGTTCTATAGAGCCATTGAATAAGATAGGGACAAGAGCAGATGTAGACTTCTGAAATAGTGAAGTGGCAATACTGTGTACGACGTATTGGAAAAGATACAGATTTAAAATAAAGAAATTAATTAGGAGCCTCTTCAGGAGAGAGGTCACAACAGCCTGATCTGGCAATAGTGGCAGTGCTGGGAAAAGAGGGGGAGAGGAACAAAAGGTGAAGATATCATCCAGGTGCTGTAGTAGTATGACAGTCAGTACTTGCATGATCCCTACTATGTGCTAGGCACTATTTAAAGACTTTATGTGTATGAATTCTACTTAATCCCCACAACTACCTTATGAGTTAGTTACTGTTATGATTCTCACTTTGCAGATGAGAAAACTAAGGCAATTAAAGATAAATTTTAATTTCCTAAAGGCTCACAGAAGGGCCAGAAGTTACCACATGATGTCGACTCTTCAACGTGGGGGACGGAAATGGAAGAAATCTATTTTCTTTATTAACAGAACATAGGGAAATATCTTGAATAGTCCTAAAACCTGATAAAGTCCTCCACACATGGTCCAAGGTAGCAAGCTACAAGACAGACTTTCTAAGTGTTCAGATCACTGATGCTCACAGATCACTACTGCTCACTCTGCCTGCAAATATGACCAAGTAGTGCATTTACCTCCCCTTCTCCTTGGCAGGGTCTGATCCTAGGGAGATCCTTGTATGTCTCTGCAAATAATACTCTGCCCACCCTCTGTAGCTTTCAGGGTACTTGGAATTTTCCAGGTAACTCCACTCTGTCTGTATTGTCTTAGGTAAGACAGTACTGAATTAGTTATCACTGGGTTTTCTATATCAATCTAAAAGAAGGCAAGTACTTAGGGTAATAAGAGCAGCAGACAAATGAAGCCTCTGAGGATGGCCTCAAGGCCATCCTTTGAAAGAATTTTGATTAACTTTCTCTTGCTTGTCTCATCTGCCAGGACTGAAATGTAGAACAAATGTTTACAGGCTATGTTAGACAAGGACATTTTTCTTTCTCTCTCTCTCCAGTTCTGGATTATGGTGAGGAGTTCATCAATGCTGCCCTACCTGACATTTTCTTCTTACATTTGATTAGTGAGATATTAGAAACTAATTTATCCAGACTGTTTGCTATTCAATACTTGACCATAATACCAGAAAATTCTATTAGCATTCACATATTAACACTTTTCATCTCAGGAGACTTGCATTTGGGTGAGGCTGAAATGAAAGGTCACAAGTGGGTTCTGTTAGTGACTAGTGGGGATTAATTAAGCATTATAAATAGAATTGTCTGTTGCATTATGGAGTAGGCTTCCTTGTGCTAATTTATAAGGTCATAAACTGAGTCCTTAACCTGACCACTCTCAAGGGTTATTTAAAACAGCTGGCAGCCTACTGTACCCACAAGGGCAACAGGACAGATTTTAATTCAGGGATTGAAGTAATTATTTAATTATGGAAATATCAGAAAAATTACCCTGAGACAAGGCTAATTATTTCGTTTGCTTTAAAAAGAAATAAGAAGAAACAATTGTGAAATCCACAGAATGAAATGGCAATTATCTAATTGGTTAGAGGGAAAGCTTAACCCAGAAGCATTTAGGGTTTGGCAAAAACATCTCACACTACTCTCTCCAGAATTTCTGGGTTCATCAAAACCTCAAGCTTGTTTTGACAACTGAGTAGTTCCCCCCTTCATTAGTATTCAAAAGAAAATCTGAATCCTCTGTTTCTCATTTCTTTACATTCATTTCATCAATATGCTTTTTTTTAAGAGTTTGTTAGTATACAAATATCCTTTTTAAAACATCTTTTTTAAGCCCTCTTCAGACCCTGGGGACCATACACCAGGCCAACTGCCAATTTGGAGATTAAAGGTATCAATTTCAGCTTAAAACTCAGGAAACAGTTTTCAGAGACCCACTAGGTTTTTCCACCTGCAAGTATAGTAAAATGGGGCCAGAAGAGTTGTTATCTATTTCTAGGTGTTTTCTCCTTGGATTCAAAGAGGTCTTGCATCTCTTATCTCATTGCACCAATTTTCATAACCTATAGAAAAAAAAACTAGAGTGATTTCATTTGCATTGATGCTTTGGACAATGGCCAGAATTTTCTTTCACATTTTCTCCTCATTGCCTTGGATAACTTACCAGAACCACTCATTTGTAGATTACATGTTATTTCTCTGCAGGACCAAAGCAGAAAACATTTTCAACCATGATTTTGCTATTCCTTAAAGGGTTGGGGGTGCGTAGGAAGGTATTCTGTAACAGGTGCAATGCAACATCTTTTTCCATTCAAGTGATAAAATATTTCCTAGCTTTGTTTTCAAATTGGGGCTCAAAGTGGTCATGCTTCGGTGTTTGCTAATTACAAGATGCTGTAGTAGTTGCTGCAGTGCCCACAGGTGCTACCCTGACTCTGCCTCACCTTTCTTCATCTCTCGACCCACCTTGTTCCCTAGAGGATTAGAAACCACCACCCTAGTTCCTCCCTCTAAAGACGTTTAATAACAATTGTTTGCCTGCTTTTCATTGATCATCTTCTTATAATTTTTCAAATAAAATATCATTTCTCCTTGCAGTACTTTTCAAGAGCTGGTGAGGTATTTGCCTTTGCAAATACCAGGCCAATGCCTCAGACAATCACGACTTCCAGTTCCTTTCTCAGAAGGAGAAGAAACCAGTGAATTCCAGAGACATGTATGTCTCACTCTTAGTAGGTTCTAGGAGAAAAAGTCCACCAGTTGCACGTTAAAACCTTCATGGCTGATCATTTATAATAATAATGTGAACTTGCTTATAACTTGATGATGTGAGTCATCTTTTCAGAAGACTTGAGAAAATCGTGACTTCAGAGGTCATGGTACAGTTGCTCAGTGATTTATATTCTTTTTTACATCCCTTCTATTATTCTTCTCCTCCTCTATCTTGAAATTGGAAGAATATTTTTCTATGAAGAAAAATACATTACAGAATATAATTATTTTTCATGTTTAATTAACTGAAAAAATAATCTAATTAGAACCATGAGGAAGCTAGCCTCATTACTATATTAAAGTGATATAAGTCTATGAAGCAAAAAGGTAAAAAAAAAAAAAGAAACTTTCTATAGTCTGTTTGAGAGTGAGGTAGGATGAAGTCAAAGTTTTTCAGGAAATCAGAAAGTATTACATCCAGAGGATACAAAACTCAGTGTACTAATTTTTTTTTTTTGGACTGATACTTTTGCATGTTGTTGAAACGTGAACGTGTGATTAGCAACTGAATGTATAATGGGGAAAATAGCAGATCCAGGGAAACTGAACAAATAGGGAAAATGAAAAGCAGCTCGAGTCATTCCTTCTGAGCTGGCAAGACTTCTGCATCTTTAGTTGTCCTAGCTTCTTCCAGTAGTTGTTAAGTTTTTGGGCTCCAACCAGTTTACTCTCCAACATCTTGTGAACCATCTTAAAGCCTTTCTCCAATATGATATGTTTGTAAAGAATAGCTTTTGTTAGTAAAGAATATGTTTGTAAAAAATAGCTAGTGGTGCCACAGTAAAACAGGAAAGTAACTGAAAGGCCAGTCCACATGAGAAGCTTCTAGATTTGCATCTGGAGACCTCCCTGAGTATGCCAGGCACATGGATGCCCATGATCTGAGACAGTAGGAAAATGGAAACACAGAAAGCAGTGTTAACTACAAACAAACTAAAAAAAATCAAGGGAAACAGCAAGGCAAATAAAGCAGCTTTTCTTATTGTTCAAAGATCAAAGGGTCAAACATTTTAGGAAAAGCAGTGCCTCTACGTAATACACACATATTCACACTTTATACTTAATGGAGCTTACACATTCTTTTCAAACATCATATACGAAAAATATACAACTGATTCACTGGTTAGCCACTATATTGTATAGCTTCCTAAGAAGTAGTTTTGAAAAAAAAAAAATTTAAATAGAGACCAGCAGCTGGTGT